CGTGCCCGCATCACCCAGCCCAGCGGCGACGTGTATGTCTTGGTCCACAGGAAGGACCATGTTCATGTCGCCTCCCACCACTCCGGCATGTACTCCTGGAGCACGCAGGAGGTCCGCAGTCGCGCGCAGTTGGATCGGGCGAAAACGCACCTCGTCCGAGAGTGACTCCAGGTGAGTATTCGCGATGCGGATGACTTGTTTGGCGTAGTTAGGTTCATCGCCTGACAGCTGCAGCGACACGTCGACGAACACCGCAGTGCGGCCCATGACAGTCTTGCGGAAATGCAGCATCTGAGCGTTGTCGTAAGAGGTTTACATACCTCGTTGTAGGCTACTCCGACCTGCAGCTGGCGCGAGACAAGTGTGGAAATGCCGTACCGAGGCGGCCAGGGCCAGCTCTTCGTGTCAGGAGGAGTAATGGCGAAATGCTTTCGCACCCAGCTGTGCTCGAGAACACTGGCGAAGCTGAACTGATTCAGTTCCTGTAGTAGGATCACAGCCGACTGCAGCTCGTTTTCGAGCACGACGTCTCTGAGGTGGTCGAGTATGCAGGACACTCGACCGGCAGCGGCGACTTGTCCCTTGAAGTCAACGTTCCATGTCACGATTTCGATGTGAGAGGTAGCTTTGGAGGGAGTATGATACTCCGTCGTCCTACGCGATGCTTCGTGGGACCAAGCGTGGATTGGGAGGTTTCGCAGGATGCCGTGTTGCACGTCGGAAGTCTTTGTTGGACCGGTATATTCGCCCGGGTCGGAACAGGAGGAATAGGACCGTGATGGAAAGGCAGTAGGGGAACGAGCATGGCTTGACGTGTGGGAGAGGCGAGTTGAAGAGCCCACTAGACAAATTAGCCTATCCAACTGGCGAGTCAGAACGCGGGCGAGCGAAGGATTGAAGGAGATTCGGTTATGTTATTGCTCTCATATGGATTAGTCTTCTCTCGCTGTCCAGGGCCTTGGTCAGCACGAAAACCGACCACAATGATAGATGTCGCTGGTGCAAAGGTATCTGGAGTATGCACAAAACCACCACGAAGCGTGGAAAGTGAGCAGATAGACAAATGCGTCTGGGTCCGTCTCATGTGGAATCTTGTGCTTGACGAGAGGAAAAGACGTTGGTTGGAGGGAATGCACCTCGTCTCGTGCAGTCGATGGTGAGGACTTGTGAGAGCTGGTAGAAAGCAATTTAGCTGAGATGTCGATGGGTAACGAAAGACCAAGTAGTACCAGTATATGATGTCGAGTGATTTAGTTTTAGTCACAGCTTCAAATTTCAAGTGACTTGGGTCAACCAGAGTATTAGTATCGAGGGCATCAGGTCAGTACCACGATACTCACGCGGGAGTCGAAGACATGCAGTAGACGCGAGGCTGCAGTCAGACATGCCATAAGGCTAAACACGGATGAGCTGACACGTGCACTAGCTCGGGGAAGCGAGACTCCATCGCCTCACTTTCGTTTCCTGTGCGCTATATTATCGCAACCTCCCCGATTCCTCAGCATCAGCGAGAATGATACTCATGGTGCGTGGTGAAGATGCAAACCAGCGCGATGTCGGTGCGCGCTGCACATCGCGCCACTCGCAAGCCTGTTTCATGTTCCGCAGCCCATGAAATGAACACAACCTCCCATTCCCCAAGAGGAAGAAGGCGGCACCATTAGGGCATGCGACCATCATACTCGTCCTGTCTTGTAAGCAGGGAGCCTGCGACAACAAATATTGACATGACAAATTACTCCCATCAAGCTCGGTCGTCGCGAGTAAGCTGTAGGGAATCCCATATGGTACATAGTCGCATGCTGCGCATCGCGCCTTCCAAACATCGACATATATGCTAACTTCTGTCACATGCCGAGCTCCGGAAGAACTCGGGCCTCCCTACCCTGGGAGGTTGAAAGAAGGCTGCCGTCAGACGCACAACGATGTGCATTAAGTAGCAACGGTAGGAAGGATATAGTGTAAACCCCCAGCTTTTGACGGGTAGCAGGACAGCACTCGACTCCGAGTCTCGAGCTGCAACGGCCTACAATAGTCGCCCTCAAGATGGTCTCGACTAGGCTCGCATTCTCGTTCTTCGTTTTCACCGCGCTCGCGAACTTGGTCATCGCCACGGAGCGCACCGCTGTGAAGCGGGATGACAACTTACCAGCCCGTGTCCCGTACGTCTTCCCTCCTCCCGGGACGGATGCCGTAGGTCGAATCAGCTCCGCCAAGGATGCGAGTGCACTGACGCCTGATTACAGGTCGCAGATGCTATCCGCCAGAGGCGCGTCAATGGAACGCCGTTGGATCTAGACGGAGTCTTGTAGGTCCTCTCGGGAGTGGATGCGCGGGCTTTCGGCTGAAGGGTCTCGTAGACTCCAAGATGAGGGCGTCGCATCCAGCTGGAATGACTTCTTCGGCGTCATCCGCGACAACAACTCCCTACCGGCCACCATGCGCGAGCTTACCTTTCTTCACTCGTTCTGGATGAACTGGGCACCGACGTGCGCGTAAATGATAGATCTTGCGCACAGGTGTCCTGAACAACGCGGCTTACGTTTGGTATGTCTACTTCCCCGACCCTCGAGGAAAGAGATTCCTTGTTCCTGACCTCGCTGATGATCTCCGGGCCGACAGGCTTCAACACGGGCCGGTCGGCGCGAGCGTCGGCCTGACCCTCATCCAGCTGCGCGAGATCCGGCTCACGCCCGCCTTTGCCTCGGCGCACATACCGAATTCCTCACTCACACCTGAGCTGAACGCAGCAATGGTCTTCGCCGACTTCATGACAAAGTCGGTGCAAGTGCCCCAGACGGTGTTCAACAGCCTGCACAAGTTCCTGAACGATAAGCAGATGGTTGACGCCGTCGCGACGGTGGGTGGGTACAACCTTGTTAGTCGGTTTGTCGTGGCACTCGATGTGGACAGCAAGGCGGACGTGCCGGTGCCAATTCCGACGTCGCTGTGAAGCCCCGCTTCGGTCCCGAGTCCGCAGCGCGATCGGCAGATGTACGTCTGTGCTTATAGTCGTTTCCGTATCCCTGTTCCTGTGTAAAATGTATATCTGCAGTCCAGATGAGACCTACCATCAAGCACGAATCCTATGGCGAGTGGGTGTTGTGGGGCCGTGTGTGAGATCCGCCGAGCCTCGCGCGAGCGTACACACCGCCTATGGGACAAAAGTCGGGAGCGCCAAGCCATAGAATAGAAGGTGGCTAATTATGATAAGCATCGGAGTATCCATAACATAGCGTGCGCATGAGATATCACCACGCACACTCCCGTGAGCGCGAAATCCAACCCAGCAGCATATGGGGCACCACTCTACAGCACGACAGCGGGATTCACGGCCGGCTTCTTCTTCTCTTCTGCAGGCCTGCTGTGCGTGCCTCCTGAGCTGATGAAGGACTCGAGCTTGGGCCAGACGTCGTAACCGCACTCCTTCAGCTCTTCAAGAGCGACCTTGTACAGCGTCTCGCGGTTCACGAGCGCTTCACTTTGGGCCCGGCCGGGCCGCCGCCCCCGAGCACCTTGCGCCGCTGCTTGATCATATGCGTGTACATCACATACAGCCCTAGCAACGAAGCTCAGCAAGAGCAGCGCGTACATCCGCACAGTCCCGACCGGGCGCAAAGGGCCGGCGCGACGGCGGACGCATACAAGCAAGGGGGTACGTACCAGGCCACCACACCGCGAACAGGAAGCCGCGGACGTACACACGGAGCGAGTCCCAGCCCGCGCCGAACGCGGGGTGCGGGAGGGTCGCGTACATGAGGAACGCCTCCGAGGACGCGCCGGTCGGGTAGAGGACGTAGAAGAGCGTGTAGCGGAGCCAGACGAGGGGCGCGGGCTCGGCGCCGAGGAGGGATGAGGCGTAGAAGGAGTAGCGGACGACCTCGGTGAGCGACCAGGAGAGCACCATGGACGCGTAGAGCGGGTTCGTGTGCGTTTCCTGGAGGGCAGGAGGGGATGAGAGTGGGCATGTTAGATAGATATGAAGAAGCGGGAGCGGGGGAGGACGTACCTTGGGGAAGAGGTCCGCGATGCCCCAGACGAGGTAGAGCCTGCTCCCGACCTGGATGAGCGTCGTGACGAGCGGGCTTCGCACCCATCCCAGCAGGACGTGGAGCACCTCCAGCGCAGCGAAGCTCTGCACGAACGCCGTCTGCGCCCCTACCTCTGCGAACGCACGCGACGCCCGCCTGATGACGGGCACGAGGACCTCCGGGAGCGCATTCTCGATCTTCCGCTGGAGCGTCGCTGCGCCGGGCGCACGGGGGACAGTGGAGTGCTTCCCGTCGAGGTTGAAGACTACATTGGCGGTGATGAAAAGGATGTAGGCCCAGCCGACGGTGGAGAGCACGTTGTAAAGGACGAGGTAGTATTTCACGAGGGGCGGAGGGCCTGCCGTGCATAGGACGTGTCAGTCGACGCGTTCGATACGTTCATTCGACTCAACACACCTCGTCTCTTCTTTGCCTGAGCTTTGGGCTCCTTATATTCTTCGATTTGGGCCATAACGAGTCGTGGAGGTCGTCAGAGGAACGGTGTCTCGCACCAGCTCACCAGCACGCGCAAGTCCGTCTGACACTCTACAGCGTGCGCGTCAATGCGGGGCGGCTGTGGATGGCCCGTCTGCCGATCGGCAATTCTTCACGTTGGGGTCTCAGACGCCGACCGCAAATTGGACGACCAACGAAGCCCCAGACCAGTTGAAAAATGTATGGTACAATCGGGTAGCTACAGTGCAGGACGGGAGGGAGAAGCTCGCACAATGACATACGAGAATAATCAGAGTATAAAGGGGTCGAAGGCTTCCAGGAGACAGAGGACACGCCTCGCACCGCTCCGCCGAGAGGTAATCCGCAAGACAAGCCGCCTCCGGTCGTCACTTCCTCTCCTGCCCATCTCCCGCAGCTGCACCCTGTCCGTTCCTCTCAGGATCGTTCCCCGCAGGCGCCTGTTGAGCCTGCTCTGGCGGAGGTTGTGTCTGGGGCGCGCCGTTCGAGCCGTTAACGATGCCTGCATGGTCGGGAATCGGGATGTTGGCGTTGGGGTTGAGAGCCATCAGCTGAGCCTGCGTGGCCTGCAGCGTCGCGCGCAAGGTCGCGTTCTCGATCCGGAGCTGATCGACGATCGTACGGCACTCTTCCCACCGACGGTTCGCCTCGTCCGCAGACGCGAGCGCGGCGTCGAGCAGCTGCGAACGCGACTCGAGCGTTTTGACGTGTCTGTGGAGCGAGTGGGGAGACACACGGATGGAGGGACGCGCATGTAGTCAGCAAAACGCAGAAAACGGGGGAGCACGGAGGTAAGACGCACTGATCTCTTCGCTCTCGGAACGCGCGCTGGGCCTTCCTGTTCTGCTCGGCTCGCTTGCTCTGGCTAAGCGTCCGTCCGCCGGACGAGCTGCCGGATCGGGGCTGCTCCTGCTGTTGTTGAGGTGGTGGGCCGCCGGGGTGGCCAGGGGGCGGCGCCCCGGGATGTGGTGGCATGCCTCCCGGGGAAAAATCACCAGGCGGGGGCGGGTACGGAGCGTATGGATGTGGCATTGGATGGCCGGCCATGTGCGGGGGCGGGTGCATGAGCATGTGCGGGGGTGGGAGCGCATGTGGTTGGATGGTGCCGGGGGGCGGGTGCTGGTGCATCGCGGAGGGATTTGGGGGCCCGGGCGGGGGCGGGGGAGGGGGCGCGTTGTCTGCCGAGGCTGTCGCGGGGGATTTGCGCTTGCGTGATGGGCGGGGGCGGGCTGGGTCACGGAGGGAGGGTCGTCGCGGAGACGGAGGGTTTGGAAGGTGCCCGGTGGTTGTGGCTGGGGCGGGGAGTGATGGAGGGCATTCGGGTCTGCAGTCTGGGGCGGGGGCGGGGCGGGGGCTGCGCCTGCTGTGGCTGCTGCTGGGAGGGCGGGGGCTGCTGGTACGCGGGGGGTGGGTGGCTTAACATGGGCTTGCAACACGCGGGCTGTAGACAATCGTCGAGTGTATTAGTAAGAAATCCTCGCGTGGCGGAGTTCGTTCTCCTTTGCCCCTTCGGGGGGTCACACGTGACCGTCCCTCCCCCTCTCGTCACGCCGATCCGGCTTGCTTGGCCATGTCCTCTCCAGCCTCGTCCTGTCTCGCTTCTTCTCGTACCGAGTCGTTCGCATCCCGGCCGTGCGGTCTGCTGCCTTTGCTCCGACGCCTTCCCAATTGCGCGAGGAAGGATTCCCGTCTGCAGACTCTGAGAAGGAACATCCTCCACCGTCCGTGCGATGACAAACCAGGCTTGTACAATCCTCGTCATATGCCGGGAACTGTCCCTCTTGTGTAGCCCGCGTCCATCGCGTATCCCGTACTCATCTACATAGTGTCCGATGTGTCAGTCAGTACCCACCCGCCTCCGATCAGTGTCTCCCTCAAACATGCCGATCACTCCGAGGCCCGTTTCTCAAACTCTCCTCGTACATGATCAAGTATGCGCAATGAGCCTAGGACTGCCATCAGCTGAGGGCGATCAAAACTTACGGCCTCGGCTCACCTCCAGTCTCTGGATGCACCATGTCTTGTGCATCGAACTGAAGAGAGTTGACCTTCTTGATCTCCGACAGCTACGGAGGTCTCCGGCGATTAATGTATACAGACCTCAATGCAGCTCCTGTCCGTCCTCGTGGGACTTGTGCGGAACGGCAGCCAGCCACAGTGCAGAAGAATGCGTTCAATTGACCTCTCGGACCAGCCGTCGATTTGCCGATGGCTTGGAGGGACCACTTTTATAGTCTACTGCGGCGATTCACTCGGACAGGCATGAAGCCACACCCTTGCGCCGTGTCGTAAGCATCACACTAACCGACAATTTACCTTCTTCGTCGGGCACGGTATCCGCGACGGTTGCGCACTTCTCCGCTCGGTTCAGCCATTCACTACGGAGATCCCCATGTGTCATTGCCATTGCAGGTGGCTTGCAGTCGCCATACATCATATGGCCATGCATGACACCGTATCTGAGGCTAATCTGTTCACGTTGCGGCGACTTCTTGAACACGATCATTCTCTTCTAGTAAGCTGCATGATTTCTCTACGAGTTTACCTTTTCATTGATGAGCATTTCCTATGGCTCAGATTCCTTTTCTGTCGTCCAATTGCAAGCGAGGCGTGGGGTACAATGTGGTAGTGTGCGGTGTGATTCATTTGCGGGAAATCCCCGTCTTCGCTTCTATGCATGTCTATTGTGTGGTGCCGGTGTGGGTATCTGTCGAGAAAATGAAAGAGCACAATTGGCGTGTAGCAGTTGTGTAGAAACGTGTAGGGCGCAGAGGACCGGGCAGAGGCCCGAGCCGCCCGAAGAGAGCCAAGAGAGGGAGAAGAAGGCCCGAAGAGGATATGAGTTCCCACGGGGGAGCGTGCAACGCGTCGGGTCGCTGTCGACTTCGAGCTCTGTCGTTGTTCTCCCTCATACCTCCGTCCCCCTGTAGAGCTGCCCACCCTCATGGCCACTGCAGCCTCTCCGGATGTGACAGGTACCCAGGTACGTGCCCGCTTCTCCCTATCGTCGCTGCTGTCTCATCGCCAGCAGTCCGAGAAGGGGAAGGAAGTCGCGGCAGAGCCACCGAGTGCCCAGCCTGCAGAGGGACGCAGCTCCAGTGAAAAGGATAGCCCCGCAGGCGAAGCAGACGTAGGGAACGGAAACGGAAACGGAAACGCTAGCTCGTCAGAGCACACCGAGACCCCTCAGCATCCCCAGCCTCAGCCCCAACCCCCTCCCCCACCCCAACCCGCAGACAGCGCAGGGCAGGCCCCGGCGCCCTCGCCGCCGGCCGCCGTGCGCTCTGCGGAGTCCATACCCACCGCCAACGAGAAGACGGACGAGAACGGCACCGCCCGCAAAGAGAAGGGCTCGCTCGAGAGCGAGCAGACCGGCACGCAGACGTTCAAGAGCTCCCCCCGCAAGGACGCAAGCAAGTCCGTCTCCGACGGCGCGCACACGTCCACCACTGCCGCCGACCAGGCGGACGGCGCCCGCGCCCGCCGCACGAAGGGCAGCCTCCTCTCGAAACTCCTGAAGGTGCTCGTCCCCTGCGTGGGCCCGTCGTCCCGCGCACACCCCGTCGACCTCGACGAGAAGGCCACGGCGCCCGCCGCGCCGTCGAAAACGAACGTGGCGACGGCGGCGGCGTTGAGGGAGAAGCAGGCGGCGAAGGAGGCAGAGGACCTGCCCCCAGCACCCCAGGAACCAGCCGCGGCAGCGTCGACGCCGCCGGATGACGCCCAGGCGCCTACGGCCCAGCCTGAAATCCCACCGCCGCTGCAGCCGATCGACGTGCCCCCACAGTCCGAGGACCCGAGCGTGCTCGTGCCCCCGACCCCCACGAAGACGCTGCCGCTGGAGGAGACCGAGGGCGTGACGTCGGGCGCGGTGCAGCCGCCGGGTTCGGTAGGGGACGAGAGCATACACAACCGGTCGAGGAGAAATTCGCGGGAGATCGACCACGAGAGCGACGGGTCGACGAGCTTTACGGAGGAGGATGACTTGGAGGAGGGCACGCCCGTGGACGAGGTCGAGGACGAAGAGGAGAGGCTCATCATGCAGGGGGGTGCTGGGATACCCATAGGACCGGTGAGTCACCGCCCGCTTCGTCTTCTGCCATGACGGCAGTCCAACACGCGTGTATCACCAGAATGGCGTTCCGCAACCATTGCTTCCCCCAATATCTCCCAAACACGCCGGTCGTAAATGCCTCGTGCTTGATCTCGACGAGACACTGGTGCATAGTAGCTTCAAGGTATGTCGGATTTGTTCTGGCATCGGGTAGGATTCTCGATTGATATCTTTTAACGTGATGCAGTCCATTCAACAAGCGGACTACGTAGTGCCCGTTGAGATTGAGTATCACTGGCACAACGTCTACGTGATCAAGCGACCAGGCGTTGACAACTTCTTGAAGAAAATGGGCGAGATCTATGAGGTCGTCGTCTTCACAGCAAGTCTCAGCAAGGTTCGTCTAAACGGTTGTATTGCTTCTCTTCGGCGTGCATTTCTCATGGTTTTGTCCACAGTACGCTGATCCTGTGCTGGACAAATTGGACATCCACCGTGTTGTTTCTCACAGATTGTTCCGAGAAAGTTGTTACAACCATAGAGGGAATTACGTCAAGGTAACACACTTATTCCGTCCGTTCCCTCACGGCGTGTGCTCATTCTTTTACCAGGATCTCTCGCAACTGGGGCGGCCGATCGCAGATACCATCATTATCGACAACTCGCCTGCGTCGTACATCTTCCACCCCAATAACGCCGTCCCAGTGTCTTCATGGTTCAATGATCCGCACGATACGGAGCTGACGGATCTCTGCCCGTTCCTCGCTGATCTGAGCGAGGTGGATGATGTTCGCGGCGTGCTTGATGGTGGCCTATGACACGAGGCGCGGATGTAATGCTGAGCGGCTGCAATCATGAGATGGGCTCTCTTCCGCCCGCCGCACTGCGCTGTTTCCCATGTCTGTCTATGCACTCATGCTGTCTATGTCACATCGTAGTCAGTGCAAACGTTGATGCGATCTCATCCGTCCACGCTCAACATAACCTCCGACGGTTCGAAGCGCAGGCGCACACGGCGCGCCGCCTCGTGTTTGCACCCAGATCCTACCCCGCTGTCCCGTCGCGGCTCCGCCAGATTCTCCGACCCGTGTCGTCTATGCCTATCTCACACCTAATTCCGGCTTATGGACCCGTAACCTCCCGTTCTTCCCTGCATCCTCGTCCCGTGTCCCTATCGTCGCCAGTTTGTTTTGTGGTTGTCATCTTCCGTCCGTACATACGCAGTCGCTTCCTCATCCAGCTTTCGTATACCCACGCAATCCCGCAATGCTTGTTATGGTGCACGCTACCCCCCGTCCTCTATCATAGTCCTCAGTCACATTCTCCAGGCAAACCCTTATCGCAAAATACATTCATCAGACGTCCATGACGATGCACCCTGCTCTCTCCCAACCCAGTTGTGGAATTTCTCTAACCATCCCACACCGGCGCCCCTCCCTCATGCCCTCCCCACCATGGACATGCCCAAACCCAAGTTATCCAGGTCAGGTCAGCCCTGCCATCCCTCATCTTATCTCCGTTCGTACCCGCTTCCGTTCGTTTCCGTGTCGGGCCCGCCGCTAATCTCGTCTCCTCGCCTTCTCGTAGTCAGCCCACTTGGCGCGTTTCACCGCGTTGTTGATCGCGGTTCTGGCTCGTGCTCGTGTTTGTGTTCGCGTTCGTGTCTACTTGTCTCTCCTTCCGCTCGTTGTCGTTCGTGCTCACTGTACATACTCTCACAGCACGTCACGCCACCTCGTATTCGGCGAGGAGTCCTCCACGCTCGTTGTTTCTTCCCTGCCTGGTCTCGTGTTGTCTGTTCCGCGTTCGATAGTCCTCGTTCTGTCTTTGCACTTTTCTCCCTGGGACCTGCGCGTCTTCCCTTCTGTCCACTCGCACACACGGATTCATAGCTATCTCTTCGTCTTTCGTCTAATCGCGCCCCGGACGACCTCCTTCTCCACGTGCACGTATTTACCGCTGGGCGTCGTATCTGTATGTTCTGCATATCCCGGATCTCATATTGTTGATGTTCACCCTCGTGCGCGGACCCTGGCTCGTTATTTGTTCTCGTCTACCCGTTGCGTTCTTTTCGTTTTTCCTGCACTATTTTTTGACTCGATGCATGACCTGCTGGTGCTGACGAGGCGCAGGGGCTCCGGGCTGGTGTGAGTGCGTACATGAATAAAAGTGCACCGTCACCGACCGGTCTCATGCCGCCACAGTGTTTCCTTACGACGAATATATATGACTGCGATGACTTTTCTATCCACCGCTTTACCGCGACCGCGAGAGGTCTAGAGTGTTATTGTGAAAGCTTCAAAGGCAGGTAGGGTAGTGAACGGTGCTCCGAGGAGTGGGGGAGGCATTCCGTATCCGTATTCAAGCAACGTTCAGCCCTATCGTCCACCTTCACTACCAGTCGTTGAGCATGCAGACTATGTCAGTCGCTTGGTCGTCTGCCGCTGCTCAGTAACACCTCCATGTAGGATTGCGTAAGGCTTCGCCTTCGGCCAGATCTCAGATTCATTTGTGGTTATGTCTACTGTTGCCTCAGTGAGACCTTGCGATCGCGTCCGTGTTTTGTTGATGGTTACTCCGATTGTTAGTGATTCGGTCGTCGAACTGTTGAGAGATTGATAGCGGATGTGTAAGCGTGACCGCCTTAGGGTGAAAGCGTACGCGAGAGACGAATAGCAGCTTTACATATGCATCGTGAATGATTATACGGACCCCTCTGAAACGATTTCGTTAAGCTCGTTTACTATCGTATACGGCGACCACCCATCGTGGCCAGGAAGGTGGTACACAAAGCGACATTATTGGGTTATAGCTATAGGCTGACGACAGGGTAGGATGTATGCTATTGCTCAGCATGTGTTGAATCATCCTCGATGGGTAACGCAGCTCTCAAGTCAGGGGGTGTTGTTGAAGATAGACGAGCAGTCGCCCATCGTGCGCGACTTGCGGCGGTAGCGCGAGAGTTCGTTAGACGATATACAAAATCGGCATCCATATGGCCGATCAGCACACATCGGGCATGGACGAGCTGACCGTTCTCTGGCAATTCGATAACGCCGACGGGGCTGCGGTGCCTGAGCGTGCACAGTCGCTATCTTGATCACGCACGAGTGGAGCGGGAGTGCTCCCGGCGGGAGTGGATGCGTACACGTTGCAAGACAGGGGCACGGTCTGTGGGGGTCTCGCCGGTGCCGTTACATAGAGTTGGCGCACATCATGGACACCGGGGGTGCACACCGCAGCATGCAACAGGGGCCACGGCCTGGGCACGCCAGCCGCGCGCAGCGGGACAAAGAACCGCCATAGCAACAGTTGGGCAAAGGCGTGGCTAGAAGTCCGGACTTTGGTCTGATACGCTGATGAAGTCTTGGGAAGCGTTGGGTGTGTGGCAGTGACGAGATCACTCTAGTGCTCGTTCGGCGCTACGCAGGAACATGGCGATTGCAGCCAGTTGATTTGATTATCGTCGCCGGCGGGAGAGACGTAAAGAGGAGGGTGGGTGAGGACCGTCGGTTGAGAACGGGACACGCTGTCGAATGGCGTGAGAGGGCGGGAAGGGGAGACTTAGAGTGCGTTTGGGTGCAAAGTAGTACGGGCGCCCGTGAGGGCGGGCGCCTGTGTGATGATGGGATGAGTTGGACGAGAGTTGGACGAGTCGACTTGTCCCCATCCAGCGACGCTGCAGTGTCTACAGCGCCCACTTCTTCTCCTTGTCTCCATCTCCCGACCACAGGCTCTGGGCAGCCTGTCCTCCCCACTTCCACCTTCTCCTCCGACTTGCCTGGGACGCCGTCGCCCACCTGCGCTCTCTTTGGCCTCCTGGACTGCGCTGCTCTTCCCTCTGGGCTGCCTAGACGTCTCGCTAAGCTTCACTTTCTTGGATACTTCCTAGACTCTCGCGTCTGCCCCTATATCCCCCTCCCGTGACTCCGCCTGCTCGCGTTCGATGCTTGCAGCCCTCCAACCACCCCAACCAGCCCCGATGACCGACTACGTGACTGCGGAGAGCCAGCCGGGACAGACGTTCATTACTGAGGACAGGTTCTGCCCGGGCTGCAAGAAGTCGGTCGTGGATGAAAACGGAGGTGTGGTTGTTGCTTTCGGGTGAGTGCCGTATCCCCGCTTCTCGTTCATTTCACTTCCATTCTTCGTGTCGCCCCTTCGTCACTTTCATTGCGTCGGGTTTCTGGGCCCCCGCCCCGTTTCGATGTCTTATCAACCAGACCGGCCGCGATGCGCTCCCTGGACTCTGCATACGACACCTGGCAGTCTCTTCAGAATTGTCCTGGGATGTCGGACAGTCTCTTCTGACATATCTCTGATATTCTCTTTGGGATTGTCGCCTGTCATCGGAGGGGCCAAGCAGCCTTCTACGCATCTCCCCCTTTTCTTGTTCCTGTCCGCCCGCTCAGATCCGGCTGGGGAGTGTGCATCTGGGCGGTAACTCTTCTCAAGGCGCGTTTCCTTGGATCATTGCTGGTGCAGAACTTTCGGGCTACGGCTATGATGCGCATTGCCCTGCTCGCCCACGTCCCGCATGCTCCCGCTCCTCTTGGCAATCACTCCCCGGTGTGTCCGGGGCAGAGGCCTGTTCGGGTTCCTTGTGTGCGCCCTCTTCGACAGAGACGTGGTCTTCGCCGAACGCGGAGATGGAGCTGGGACCCATTCTCTATCTCCCCCCCCCCTCCCCATGGTGGAGACGCAGCAGCAGTGTGGCTGGGAAGATCCGACGGCGTACGCTCATATCGCTCACGGGATATTTGGCTGCGAGACATCGTGTTAGCGGTTGTCATGGGCCCTCGCGCGTGCAACGCGCTTGGTGTTCTCGCGCCGTGCTGTCCTGAGATTCCTCGCGCGGTAGAGGAGGTGCGTCGCTTGAGGCCAAGCCGCAGCTTCTTCAGCATCGTGTGTAAGAGGCTTCGATTAGGGTTGTGGTCGGCGGTCACTGTGATTCACTGTCGTATCCAGTCACACACCCACATTCCTGCTGGCTACCTCCGTGATCTATGCGCTTAACTCAGCTCTTCGTACGATTCGGGCGCTCGGCGAGGGTTGTCGAAGGCCTGGCCTCCGAATATTGCGCTCGCCGTCAAGCCTCAGGAGTGGTGCAACCCGTCTGTGCATAAAGCGCGCCATCGCACGTCTAGATGTAAGGGGGCAGCCTGGGTCCCCGGTCTCCATTAGTTGAACGACATGCGTCTATCTTGCTGGGAGCCTGCAAGTGCGAACGAACAAACTTGCATCTGCATGTTACGCAAGGGGACTCCGCGGCGGCTCCTCGTAGCAGCAGTGGCGGCGCGGCTGCTTCTTCTGGGTAATGTTGGACAGATGCACGATCGACGCAGGTCGGTGCCGCCTTCTCTCGCGTATCGCACCAATGTCATCCATCATCATCCCCAGAACATTCAATCCGTCTGTCTCCCAAACAACCTTCCGTGCCTAGCCTTCTTGATTGCATTACTGCGTAACGTCGGGTGGCGGTCCTTCCTTGCTACAACATTCCTTGTGAAGTCGGGCTATGTGGACCGGGCCCAACATCCTCCGTGAGGAGAGTCGAGTTGGCGTCTGGAAACGCGTCTGGCGTCGTGATAAGTACGGAGCCGTTAGGAGCGCTATGTACAGCGGCGTGGACCGCCTTCGCCCTGCAGTGGTTCTGAGAACCTTCTTTCCTTGCTTATCTTCAGCCCCCTGTTGCTTCGTTTTTACACCCATCCTCGGTATCTTCTGAATACGTGTGTTCGATGCTGACCTCGGCGATCGCGTCCTCCAGACAATCCTTCTTCCACGTCGACTGCTTCAAGTGCGCAAAATGCGGGAACCAGGTGACGGCGGACACGAACCTCCTCCTGCTCTCGGACGGGTCGCCGATCTGCGCGAACTGCTCGTACAGCTGCTCGGTCTGCCAGCAGCCGATCCTCGACGAGGCGATCATGACCGGGGACGACTCGTACCACGCGCACTGCTTCAAGTGCAAGGTGTGCCAGAACCGGATCGACGAGCTCGTGTTCGCCAAGACGCGCAAGGGCATCTACTGCATGAATTGCCATAACGAACGCGTCGCGAGGAGCAGGAGGCACCAGGCTAGCAAGCAGGAGCGGGCGGCCCAGCAGCAGGAGCAACAACCACAGAAACAGCAACAACAGGCGCCGCCGCCGCCGCCTTCTGGCACGTCCAGCGGGAGCGTGAATGGTAGAGACTCCCGAGAAGGCCAGCATGGTCGCCCTGCGAACACAGTAAGTGGTTTCTGTTACGCATATAACTGCGTGCGAAGCGCGCACGAGACTCAACTGGCGGTGTGTTGTTTGCGCAGGGCGTCGACGAACAAGGACGGCCGAACTCGCGAGCCACCTCTGGCGAGGGGTCGTCCCCTGACACGTCTCAGTACAATGGAAGCCTCTCGCGGTCGAGCTCGTACCGCGTGCCCGGGTCGGTGGACAGCCACTCGTCCGGGCCCTCTTCAGCAGGTGCACGGCGGGGGTCGATACTCACCAACCTCGTCGCTCCCGAGTCGCACCATCGACAGCAGGAGCAGGCCGCTGCAGCATCGCCGTCAGGCCCGTCGTCATCGCACGGCCTTCTAGGATCGCCTGTGGACAGGCCTTCCGGGCCTCTGTCGAAACGCCATTCGGGGATGTTCATCGGGTTGCCATCCTCGCCTTCCATGACGCGCGTCAACGTAAACGCCGGTCGCCCGTCCACCGCTGGAAGCTCTGCTGCCAGCTCGCCCATCGACCACTACCGCTCGTCGCCAACGTCGAACATGCAGACGCTCTCGGTGCCCACTGGAGACAACGCCAACCTCAACAAGCGCAAGAGTTTCGACGCCAGCGTCCGCCCGTTGAACGTCCTCCGCCAGGTCGCGAGCAGCGCATCGCTGAACACGAGCCAGAACGGTGCCCCGACAGACTACAAACGTTCGTACTCGAACAACACGCCTCCTATCAACACCTCTAGCCTGCGAGGCCGTGATTCTCCCCGGCCCAACTCTCCCCTCCGTGACTACTTCAACTCTTTCTCGCCCGACCCCTCCGACAGCGACTACCAAGAGTCGCCCATCTCCCCACCTAATGGCCGCAACCCGTACGACCACGACGCGTCACGTAACGCTGCAGGACGAGCGCGCTCTGCGTCATCGAGTGCGTACCTGCCCGAGGCAGGGTCCACACGTGCCCCGCAGCCGCGGCCCACGCTCAACCTCGACCGCATGCCCGCGCGCTCGACGAGCCTTGGAATCCCGTCGTCGTTCGAGGCTCTCGAGGCAGTGTCCCCCTCGAACCTTGTTCTTCAGCGCAGCCCGATTCCCAGCCCAGACCAGCGCAGGCCCCCGGAACTGAACCTCAACGGGAGCAACTTCCGCGCGCGCAAGGGCGAGTGGGACGGGACCCCCGAGAAGAAGCGCGGGAGCGGCGGCTCGGTCCCGCCGTCGCCTGCGCACTTCGTCGACGTCCCGCACGGGATCGAGAGCGGGACGGACACGGAGTCGGAGCAGGACCACTCGAGCGACGGGCACGTGCCCTCCCGCCCGCCGTCGCTCCCGCCGAAGGAGCTTCCGAGGCGGCCGAACGACCTGCGCGTGGACGTTCCGGGACGGAGCTCGACGCCCGCGTACGGCGGGAGCGAGGGCACGCCCGAGTCGTCGCCGGTGGAGCGCACGTCCGAGTCTTCGCCTGTGGAACGCACGTCCATCGCGACGTACATCGCGCCCGCGCTGCCTCCGATCCGGATATCCATGGGCCCGGGTGACTTCGACGACTACTTCAACAAGGCGGTGGCGGCGGTTTCCACTGCGTCGGGCAAGGAGAAGGAAAAGGACGGAGGCCAGCTCAAGGCCGACGTCAGCCTCACTCCGCCGGACTCGGCTGGCGCGCCGACGACGCCGAAGAGCGACATTACGGTACTGGGCTCTGCGGACCACTCGACGGACGAGACGCCGGTGAGGCGCGTGGACAGGAACGGCGCGGTGAGCTCGTCGTCGTCGTCATCCGAGCACGACTACTTCGACAGGCCACGTGGGTCGATCGACCGGGACCGCGCGCGACTGGAGTCGAACGGTCGCGCTGGGACGCCCCCTCTGAGCATTGGGCGGCGGGGCGGACATCAGAGAGTGGACTCGAACGCTTCGCGCGGTGCACCTGTCAATGGGGCGAACGGGAACGGGCTGGCGCGCATCACTGTCACTGCGCCGAGCGACAATGCGGAGGCGTTGCGGTGGCGGCTGCATGAGGCGGTGACCGCTGCGTCCGAGCGAGGCGCGGCCCAGGTGACGCTTGACGTAGGCTTGGTCCAGAGCCTACTGAATGTGTTCGACCGGCAGATGAACGAGTACGCGGGCCTAAAGCAGAGCCTAGATGGCGTGAAGGTGAGTCGGCGTTGATTTGCTCGGTTGCCGCGGAGGTGAAGTTTAGGGGGGCTGATATACGTGTCGTGGCGTCGCATCGCAGCGGGCTAGCAAGCAATACATGGATGGCTTGACGGTTGCGCAGACCGAGTACGACCGCGAGCTGAAGGCGCGACGGGATGCCGAGGCCGAGGTGACACGGTTGCGTGTCCTGTTGTCGGGCCAGGCTGTACGCCTGACCGCGATCACTGGCGACTCCAAACGCCAGGAGGCGCAGAGGCAGCTTGCACAAGAGAGGACTGACCAGATGTCCACTCTGGAACGCGACCTCTCCAAGCTAAAGGTCGAACGCGACATGACACTCGCCGAAGTCGAACAGCTCTCCGCTTCCCGCAGGTGCGTCCTCTCTTGACTTCCATGATGCCAGCAGAGATTTACGTGTGTTTGATCACTGCAGCTCCTCTACCGTTATTGACAGCGAAGAAGGAGGGGCTTCGTTGACCCGAGGCCTGTCGATGCGCTTTGATAACATCAAGGTCCAGTATCAGCACGAGCTCATCCCATTGAACGAGCAGCGCGAAAGCCTTCAACGCGAAATCGCGGAGCTTCAAGCTTCGCGAGACGCCATCTTGGAGGAGACGACCGTGCTCAACAAGCGGAACGAGGAGCTCGCGCAGCTCAACTCACAGTATCAACGTCGTCTGGAGCAGGGTGGGGTCGCCAAGGAGGAGGGGGTCTTGCAGGAACGCCAGAACAACTCGTTCGAGCGCGCAAGGTCGCCGCCCATGCTCAATAACTCCGTATCGTCCACGACGCTTGCGCTCTCTGAGGAAGGGTCCGACACCAAGTTCATTAAGATCACGAAGCCGGATGTGCAGGACACTCCCGTGCAGCAGCAGGCCAAGCCGCGGTTCATCAAATGGCCCGGGTCGAAGGCCCCCAAGGAGAATATTGCCCTCACGAATGGTGTGGACACGGGCAAGGCTAAGTGGCGGACGGAGCACGTCTTCCAGCAAGTGTCCGTGCTGAGGGTTGCGAGGTGCGACCACTGCGGTGATAAGATGTGGGGATCGCAGCTCCGGTGCAATAGTGAGTTGTTATCCTCACTTGTGGCGCATCGGGTTTGAACTGGTTCTGACATGGATCATGACACGGCGCGTTATAGACTGTAGCATTGCGGTGCACACTCGTTGCATCCATAATGTGAACCTGGCGTGCACGCAACAGACACTGGCTTCACGGGACGAGTCACAGGCACCTCTTGCTCCACTGCGTGAGTGGATTGATTGTCAGCCCACATGCAATTGATCTTGACGAATTTTTGCAGCACCGTCTATGTTTGGCCGTGATCTCATTGAGCAGGTCCATGCTGACTCCAAGGATGAGGAACGAATGGTTCCTGTCATTGTCGAGAAATGTATCGATGCTGTGGACAACATTGGTACGTTGCTACTGTTTACTGTTATCCTCCTGGTGCTGAACACGAGGCCATAGCTCTCGAGTATGAGGGTATCTACCGCAAGACAGGCGGCTCTGGCCAGTCAAAGATGATTACCCAGCTGTTCGAGCGTGGCGAATACGCGGCATTCGATCTTCGCGATTCAGATCGTTTTAACGACATATGCAGCGTCACCTCCGTGCTTAAGGCATACTTCCGCGCACTTCCAAACCCGCTCCTGACGTTCGCGCTTCACGACAAGTTCATAAGCGCATCTACTATACGCGATCCTGTCATCAAGGCTACCACGTTCACCGACCTCATTCACGACCTGCCCGCGGAGCATTATTACACCCTTAGAGCGCTAATGCTTCACTTGAACCGGTTAGTCTTATCCCCATATCCGCTCCCAAAGTTCATTGTACTAATCAGCTGCGGTATAGGGTATGTGAACGCAGCGAGCGCAACCTCATGCATGCAAGGAATCTCGGTGTCGTCTTTGGACGTAAGCCGATTCGCATGCGTTTCTCTGTCCAAGTATCTGACAACCTTCCATAGCAACGCTCATGCGTTCGCCCGATCCCGCTGCCGAGTTCAGTGACATGGCAGGCAAAGCCCTCTGCGTCGAATGGCTTATTGAGAACGCGCAGCGAGTCTTCGATTCACAACTCCCGACGCAGTGATAAACCTCAGGGTCGTCATGTCTCTTCATATCCCTCATTATTACGTATTTGTTCATCATCTCGCATCTCTCCATCTCATGTTCAATGCACGCTGGTCCAGTGTGGTTGTATCCCTGTAGAACCTTCACCGCGCATCGCATCTTGTACCAAAAGTTCTATTCCCTCATTCCCGTTCTTATTCGGCCTTCTCTATCTCGTTTACCCCTTACTTGATTATTCGCCCATCACATGCCATTTTACTATGCATCTCCGTCGGTGGTTTCTCTGCAGTGGATTGGCATGGAACGGTACTTGTCGTCTTACGTCTTCCTTGCGCCCGTCTTCCGACGCATCGCATTGTTGTTATTATCTCCACACCCGCCCTATGAGCAACAGTAGCCGTGCCCCCTCGTTTACCCTCACCATAGTATTCCCTTAGGGCCCACCGAGCCCGAGCCCTCCCCCGCCTATACGACATCAGCATCCCATGCGTGGCACAGTATCTATACCCGAGCTCTTATCAATCTGTATACCATCGTAACTCCGGACCCCTATGATACATTTACCAGAATGGCTTGAGGTGTCATGATAATTCAGAGTCTAGCCTACTGTGCCTTGATTTGCGTTCACAGTTGAGCCATGAGGCCTATGGGGGGGGGGGGGGGTGGGGAGAAAACCGAAAAATGAGTCGAACGATGGCCCAACCTGGAAATAAAATCATCGAAGTATCAGCACCCGAGAATGTCTTGCAGTCGTCTGTCTCCCCTTCCGAAGTCGGAAATTCGTCAGACAGTACACATAAACATAAAGTCGCAGCCACAGGATTCTCGGGTGCCTACCACTTAGGGGTGTCCAGGCTTTAGGCTACCCACACTGTACGAGCCTACACCAAGGTCGCTAGCCATAGGTTACGTCCGGTCGTGGTCAGAAGGAGAAAGAAAAGTTGGTCCTTGGACAGAACTAATGGTAAATGCAAGGAAGACGAAACGCAGGACAATGCGGGATACATTCCCGTGACGGGAAGAACCTATAATCATGAGTGTTCCATATTGGCGTTCGCCTCTTTGGATTACCACTAGCACCGCCTTCACGGGCAAGGGGACATGCGCGTAGTCCATGACCGGCCGCAGCAAGTCTCGTCACCTTCTGAAGTCATCCTGATAAGTGATTGCATTACAATGCGCAAGGCGTCTGATCGACACAAGGTGACACAGAATAAGATAGATACACATGTGCGAGAGAGATAGAGCGTATGAATAGCAAGAAAGCACAGACATAGCAAGTCGAGGATGGAAGAAAGATACACACTCCCGAGGCGGTGGGCCCCCGTGGCGGCCGCGTACCCTCACGACTGCTCGCGAGAGCGCTTGCTGCGCTGGTTGGTATCGCCGTGGAGGGAGCAGTATAGGAAGTGACGACGGGGCCCGGACGTCGCACTGCCAGCGACTGCGGCGACGCGCGCGCCCAGCGGTGCGGTGTCTGTCCCGCTGCCACGTACCCCAAGGGAGAACATGCGGTCGAACACTGGCGTATGCAGCGGGTGGCAGAGGGCGGCGTTGGCGAGCGGCGATCAGTTCAATAGTCATTGTCATACGTGACAGGCAGGTGTTTCGCAAGGACATGTGAATTAAGACGAGCGAACGAGGCAAGTGAGGAAAGAGCGACGTACGTGTGGCGACGAATGCCTTCGCGGTCGTCTGGCAACTGAGATGAGTGAGCGAGAGCGGGGGGCTGACGCCTTCGAGCGTGCGGAGGTAGCGGAACACCATTGACGGTTGGCAGGGTCCTACGTGCGCGGAGCATTGCGATAAGCGTTCGGACGTTCAGCTGCTACCTGACAAGCGGGTGTCTCGCCCGACGTCAATGTGAGAGATGGCGACTTACCAAAGCGGAAGACGGCCTGGTAGGCTTGTTTCCACTTCTCGTCGAGAAGACGAGCACAGTTCGCTGAATCTGGACATGACAAGCACTGCATGGAAGGAGATCCAGATCGGACGCATTAGTTACATGCTCTGTCTTGACGATGTGGGACACCGGTGCGTACGCATTGGTACTCCTTAGCGATTTGGACCAGCCCAAGTTTGAGTACTCGTTCTAGGAACCACGTTCGCCTGTATCGTCACGTCAATATTCGGGTAACGAGGAAGCGTACCGCGGGACAGACCTCTTCTCAAGCTTGAGTAATGTTGCTTGACTCAGCGTCCCAAGCTCCTCTTCCGACCAGCCACCGGGGTTGTCTAGAACAAACCTGCTCGACTCACGATAGAGCTCCTCTTCATCAAACAGCTCCGCTATGCGCATAGCTTTGATCGGACGACCCGCGGCATGGGTGAGAAGGAACGTGAGGCACTCGTTCTGCAACGCGGAGACGTGCAGCTTATGTGAGATATTCATGAGGCCCTCAACGTTGTTCCATGTAATAGTGCACACGAGGCTGCACGCAGGGTCATTGTGAGACGGGGAGTGGCTATGGTAACAGAGACAACGCTTACTGCGGATATACGTATTTGAGGAAGTCGTGGAAGGTGCTTGCCTGCAGGAGCCCTTGAATGGATCAACGCTAGAGATGACTGCATACGGCGCGCACCTTCTCCTCCTTGAGCACGATGATAGCGTCTGGACGTTTCTCCTTTTCTGGAACCTGCCGTTTGAACAGCCGCGTCCTTCTAAGCGTGGAAGGACCTGCAGTATTCCCGTCTATATCTGGCGCCTTGGCTTTCGCCTTCTCCGACGGGCTTGTTGGTGTTGTGGGGTTCGACTTCTCCAGCTTGCTCAGACTGTCCTCGCGTGCTCGCGTCTTGTCTTCCGTGCTTGCCTCCGCGTCACTGGCGTCGCTATCGCTGATATCGATGTCCAGGTCAAGCTCGTCCGGGTCCATATCAGGATCCATGGGCGCGAAGGTGATCTCGGAATGGGTCTCAAGGTCAGGCTTGGAACCAGGAACAACGGGTGGTTGGGAGATAGTGATGACTGAGGACACGGACTGCGGCCGACCAGACTCCTTCTCCGTCTCAGCCCACCCTCCAGAGAGGGCGGCCTGGAAGAATGCCGAGGCAAAGTATAGAATCTCCTTGTGTGCCCTTTATGGTGACAAAGTAGACGGACGACGTTTCAGCTCCGGACTCGGCGCTCGGAGATGAGATTGTGAGGGTGCGCACCAGAAGGTTGTGGACTCGACAACGATTTTGACATTTCCGGGGAACTTACTGGTAAGGGTGAAGGTCTCGTCAATCTCTATGGGATCATCCATGTCGCCGTTGGTGCTGAGGGAGGATGTCATTCCGTCGGACTCGTACTCCTCGAAATACCAGGACGGGGAGCCTGCAGATCTGAATATTCCGGCCGCGGCTGCATGAGTCTCAGTGGGGGAGCTGAGAGAAGCAGATGGATTATGAGTATTGGGGCCCCTGGAGTTGCGAGCAATGAGTATATGTGGAGGATTCATGGCTCAGTCCGGAGAATCAGTAGGCTATGAACCCGGAGTTTCGTCGTACTCCCTGAGATGTGGGCGGAAGAGGACATGGTGGCCATAATGAAAATATTGAGCGGTGGCGCTATAGTGTAGTGGTTATCACTTGGGATTCTGACTTCAGTGTTCCCAAAACCCAGGTTCGAGCCCTGGTAGCGCCTTGCGCTTGTCTTCCTGTGACCTTCATTTTGTCCTGGCTACGTTTACAAGACGCTACCGTTCTCCCATCCTCATCGTTCTCGCCTCATCTAGCTGTTCTTGAACTGTCGCACTATCGGCTGATGCGCTCATTGCGTCTTAGAGACCATGTTTCAAACTTTTGGAGGGAGGGGGTTCATTGGTCGAGACTTGTCTTCTGGCCTTCTGCCTCAGTACAGGCTCCAGGCCGAGATTTTGACTTCCATTGAGCTGAGCAAATTCGCCTTTATGATTGAGTAAGACTCTTGCACGCAAGACTCCATACTAGTAGCTGTCAAACACCAACAGTACTGGCACGTGGTATACGATATCAAGACCGCTGGCAGTCAGACTGAAAACCACTATGGCATCTGTGAGTTCACCGCTTCCACGACGTACTGACACTGACAGACAAGCCTTCAATTGCTCGACAACTGCATTCATCGGGTCGACATAACATTTCAACGGACCAATGGCCTCTCGTGAGCCTGAATTATGCGGAGCATGGATCTCCGGGCCTCAAAATGCCGCCCTGTCTCTCGGCATTTCGAAGCGATGCTGTTACTTTCCGTCGCAAAGAAAATGTCATCACAGCCCCGCCGGTGTCTGATCAACGACAGAGAGCGGGCTAGCCAACAACTCATAACGTGTCTTGAGAGCGACGCTCAACAAGTTTC